GACAAAAAGAACGGATGGGCACAACAGTGGGATGTGATCGTGTTCCAAAGAACTCAGCCCTGTCTATGGCTACGTGACAGAAAAGACTGCTCAGTGGGAGGTCCAAAACGGACACTCACTGGCAACAAAAGGAATGAGGAAAGGGAATTGTTTCAGATAACCAGTGGACGAGGGCAGCGTGCCCTCCGAGATCGGCAGGGCATGGGCGAGGGTCTGTGAGGATTCACGCTGCCTTTGTAGGGCCTTCTGCATGAGGCAGGTGAGGGCAGGCTGCTCAGCCTTCTGGCAGTCAGGGGAACTACTAGAAATGGCATCTGCCCCATGAGATTAACAAAAAGCAAAAAATCTGACCTATCAAATGTGGGTTACCAGATGGGGGAAATCAGGGCTCTTGTGTACAGTGGGTGGGAGTGGAAATTGGCATGATCGTTCTGGAGGGCAAGGTGATCGCATCTCAAAAAACAGAAAACGTTTCTTAGCCTCCAAGGCAGTGAAGTTGCCTCTGGGTATAAATCCCGGAAGAACTCTCACATAAGTGACCAAGAAAGCTCGTGAGGATGTTCCTCCCAGCAGTGTTTGTAATATGGGTGGTGGTGGGGGGCGGGGTGGGAAGAGGAAGAAAGAAAAGAAAAAAAATGCATCAAGCACAGTGTCTCTCAACAGGGGAATGGTTAACTGGCCCTTGAAAAATACTCGGCCACTGTTCATTGTTCACTCTCCTCTGATCTGACTTCCCACACACACACTCACCCCACCCACTTCAGGTTCATTTTTATGTTTTATCAGCCCATTGCCTTGACCCCCAGGGAAAAGTAGAATTCACATATGAAGAAAGAGGGTCAGACTCCCCGGAAAGCTTTTCAGTGTTCTTTGCCCAGGAGAGGTTCCCATTACAATCGGACCTGGACCTCAGCCATGAGCCCGGGGAGGGAAGGAACCAATTTCATTCCACTTAAACCAATTTGCCCGGCCCAGACAGCAGCTAATGAGCAGCCTGCACCCTTGGAGTCATCGATACCACTTTCCAAATCAAGTTACCAAATTGGTCTTAAAACCACTTCAAAGGGGCCGGGCTGACTGTTAGCAGTGAGGCATCCTGCCGGCCATATGGCCACGGTTCTTCCCACTGGCATCTCCTCCTCGGTATCAGCTGCAGAGGGACGAGCTGGCTGGCTGCTTTTGTCTCTGCTTTGGAGCCCTCCTTCCCCTGAATGCCTGATCGCCCAGAATGGAACTTGGGTCAGCGTTTAAAAAAAAAAAAAACGGGACAACTGTGGCAGGGGATCCAAATAAAGAAGGGCCCGAGCAGACAGCCCAGCCGCCAGCACAACAGCCAGGCGACGTCAGTACTCTTGTTGTCCCCATTTTACAGACAAAGAAGCTGAGAGTATGAAATATGAACAAGGTCCACTACAGCTACCAAGTGGCGGAGCCAGGAATTGAACCTGGGGCTTCCTTAAACCATAATCCGCGCTCAGCTTGTAAGCCACATAGGCTTTATAATTCAGACCTTAATGACTTACATTTCCTTCTCTACAATGAAGCATAAAAAATGGTCAGACGGGCCAGGTGCAATGGCTCCTGCCTGTAATACTAGCATTTTGGGAGGCTGAAGCAGGAGGATTGCTGGGGGATCAAGGCTGCAGTGAACTAGGATCGCATCACTGTACTTCAGCCTGAGCCACATCTCTTTTTTAAAACAAAAATGGTCAAATGAACCTTGAACAAGAGCCAGACAGACACTGGCACTGGAGCAGGAAACTGAGCATGGCCGGGAAAGACATGCATTGCCCTAAATCAGAATAAAATTTGAAAAAGACATAATGATCACAGTTTTCACGTAAACAACATCATCCCAAAATAATCATAACTTCTTTTTTTTTTTTTTTTTCCTTTTTTTGAGACTGACTCTCACTCTGTCGCCAGGCTGGAGTGCAGTGGCAGGATCTCGGCTCACTGCAACCTCCGCCTCCCCGGTTCAAGCGATTATCCCGCCTCAGCCTCCCAAGTAGCTGAGATTACAGGCACTCACCACCACGCCCGGCTAATTTTTGTATTTTTTAGTAGAGATGGGATTTCACCATGTTGGCCAGGATGGTCTCAATCCCTTGACCTCATGATCCACCCGCCTCGGTCTCCCAAAGTGCTGGGATTACAGGCGTGAGCCACCATGCCCGGCCAATAATCATAACTTTTTAAAAAGTAATGCCCAACAAGGAAATCAGAATAATAGCAAACTGGCTAAAGAAAGCATGACATTGTCCCCACTAGAATATGACAGCAAACATTTCCTGAGGATTTTCTATACATCAGATACTATTAAATTGACCTTCTATAGGTCAACAATGCTATGCTGCCAAACTCACATGGCTCAATTGTCATATTTTAAGCACTTTGCATGTATCCATTCACTTAATCATCACAGTAACCCTTCTGAGGCATTGTGTCAGAATACCTGCCACACCCCATTCCAATCAAAGAGGTGCCCATATCTGAATTTCCTGGAACCTGTGAATATGTTGCCTCCCAGGCCAAGGGAACTTCCTAGATGTGATGAAAGCTAAGGACCTTGAAGTGGGATTATTCTGGATTATCAGGGCAGCCCCTGTCCAATAATCACATGAATTCTTAAAATGAGAGAATCTTTTCCAGCTGGGATCACAGAGGTGAAAAGAAAGAGGAGGAAGAGATTTAGGTCGTAAAGGAACTAGACCCACCATTGCTGGACTTAAACATGGAGAGAGGAGGCCACGAGCCCAGAGGGGAGGCTTCCAGAAACACAGTACAGCCGGACGGCCCGCAAGAAAACAGGATCTCAGTTCGACAACCTCAAGGAAATGAATTCTGCCAACACCCAGAATGAGCAAGGAAACAGACCCGCCCCCGGAGTCTCCAGAAGGAAAGGCAGCCTGCAGGATCCTTGGCTTAGCCGGGTGAGATCCATGTCTGATCTCTGCCCTAGAGAACTGGACATGAGCTGGGGACAGTGGCTCATACTAGTGATCCCAGCACTTTAGGAGGCCGAGGTGGGAAGGTTGCTTGAGTCCAGGAGTTTCAATCCAGCCTGGGCAAGACAGTGAGACCTCGTCTCTACAAAAAATACAAAAAATTAGCCAGGCATGGTAACTCATGCCTGTAGTCCCAGCTACTGTGGAGGCTGAGGTGGGAGGATCACTTGAGCCCTGGAGGTCAAGGCTGCAGTGGGCCATGTTCACACCATTGTACTCCAGCCTGGGTGACAGAGCAAGACTTGTCTCAAACCGATCCCCCCAAAAAAACTGTACATTAACATATTATGTTGTGTAAATGGTTAATTTGTGTTAGTTTTTATGGTAATCACAGAAATTTTAAAAAAGGGATAAAAAGTATTTGTAGCCATGCTTGGGGGTGGGGGCACAGATGAGAATATGAATCGTGGTGCCCAAGGTCACTCAGCCAGCAAGGGGCAGAGCTGGGTCTGACCAGCTCCTGGGACCTCCAGCTCTGTTGTTCTGCTCTGCAGTCTCACTGAAGAACAATTTGAAATCGAGTTCCCAGATGGCAATACAAAGGCTGTATTTTGGGCTGACTATGCCAAAAGTTGTACTTAAAAAAAAAAAAAAAAAAATTGCAGGTTTTTTTTTTTTTTTGAGATGGAGTCTAGCTCTGTCACCAGGCTGGAGTGTAGTGGCGCCATCTCGGCTCACTGCAACCACCTCCGCCTCCCTGGTTCGAGAAATTCTCCTGCCTCAGCCTTCTGAGTAGCTGGAACTACAGTCTCGCACCACCATGACCAGCTAATTTTTGTATTTTTTAGTAGAGGCAGGGTTTCACCCTGTTGGCCGGGATGGTCTCAGTCTCTTAATCTTGTGATCTGCCCCCCTCGGCCTCCCAAAGTGTTGGGATTACAGGCGTGAGCCACCGCACCTGGCAGTTATTATTTTAAACAATTAAAAATAGTAAAAGATCTCGCCCTGCCCAGGTCTAGATGATGGCAATAAAAACGTGGCTAGACATATACACCATGGAATACTATGCAGCCATAAAAAAGGGTGAGTTCATGTCCTTTGCAGGGACATGGATGAAGTTGGAAACCATCATTCTCAGCAAACTAACACAAGAACGGAAAACTGAACACCGCAAGTTCTCACTCATAAATGGGGATTGAACAACGAGAACACATGGACACAGGGAGGGGAACATCATCACACCGGGGCCTGCTGGAGGTGGGGGGCTAAGGGGAAGGATAGCCAAGAGTGGGGGGATTGGGGAGGGATAACATTAGGAGAAACACCTAATGTAGATGACAGGGGCATGGATGCAGCAAACCACCATGGCACGTGTATACTGATATAACAATCCTGCACATTCTGCACATGTATCCCAGAACTTAAAGTATTAAAAAATAAAGACAAAACAATAACAATAACAACAACAAAAAAAAAACAGATAAAATTAAAAAAACAAAACAAAAAATCGTGGCTAAAGATGAACTAACAGAGGTGGCGGGGGAGTGGGGAGATGGGTCTGGAGACACCAGGCCTAGTATTCAGCAGGAACTCACTCATCTGCAGTGGTTTTGTGAGAGACGGAAGTGCTCCCATAGCAGCGAGTAAACAGATGCCTCCCCATGAGGGCAACGGTTGCCCCCATGTCTGGGTATGTTCCCTGGGGGAACATTCCCCCATCCGCCTCCACAAAACACAGGGTTCAGACCTGACACAGAGTCCCTGAGCCTAGCATCAGGCATCCCAACGGCTCAGGCTTGAATATTTGACTATCACCCCCAAGAGATCAGAAAGTTAAGAAACAGCGGGCCCAGCCGGCAAGTGCCTTTGGATTTACCTAGAAGAAAGGTAAACCTCTACTTTCATCAGGCTGCTAAAGATAGGGAAAGTATGTGGAAAATGTATAGACCCTTAGGTCTGGTCTTAGACCTGGATTCCTGTGATTGGATTTCTGATTGGATGGTGATTTCTTCATCTTCTCTCTTAGCACATGGCCTCGGGGAAGCCACTTACCTCTCCAAATCTCAGTGTCCCGGAGGTAAATTGGGAACACCAGGGAGCTATGTGCTGTGCAGCTCAAAGGAGAGATGATTCAGCCTCCACTTAAAGTGCCATCACGATGACTGCATATGCCAAGGACGCCCGGGCCCTTGGGAGAAGGCCCAGGGAGTGTGGTCAGCTGCAGAAGCAAAGGCATGAGTGTCAGCGCCCTAGGAGTCAAAGGCAGGCCTTACAGAGCACAGCACTGCCAGGGACTCGAGGCTTTGAGAGACCCTGCACCCGGCTCCCATGCTGCCTAACGTGGCTTTTCTCTAGCACCTCCATGGGCCGGGCCACACCCACTCCACTTCTGCTCCATCTGCAGTCCCAGGCCCCCATCCATGAAGCCTGTGTGCTTTGCCCGTCCCATATCAGGGTGCAGGGCCACGGTGCTGGTTGAGAAAGGGCCGCAGAGCCACCTTTGTACATGGAGCCCTTAGTAAATGTTGGTAAAAGAAGGTGAGAACAGGAGAGAAGAGTCACTGGGTTGCCAAGACAGACCCCAGCTCTTTCTTCCTCCATAATCACCAAGGCTTGGTTTAGAGAAAGCTGAAGCAAGAAGACCCCCGGTCCAACCCCCATAGTCCAATTTAACTTCCCAAATGGAGAAAGTACACCCCACAACAGGGAAGGGCCTTCTGTTATATCACCCAGAAGTCCTAAATTGCTGATCCCTCTCAGCCTCAGCTTCCTCATCTATGCAATGGGCATGATGCCTGCCTGCACACCTCACCAGGGAAAGGACTGCTCAAAGGAGACGCTCAACAAAACCCCCTGTGAGCATCTTTCTCCCACATGATGGCCGCACCATCAAACGAGACCCACACACCTGCCGCTCGGAGACCCTGGGACAGAGGAACAAAAGGGCAATTAACTAAGATTTTGGACATTAGTAAAATCAGACCGGAATTTTCATTCATTTCCAGGGACACTTCAATCTTTCTCTTTTGTGTCCCCTGGTATGGCAGCTTGGAAAACAAATGGCATTTCTTTATGAGAATGACATTTTCCTTAAACGCCTTAAGAAAAAGTCCCAAAGGGATCTTACATTTGAGTTCCTATGCAATCCGTATTGATAGAAGCTTTCAAATGTATATATTTCCGAAGCCACAGGATGTAGCCCCAGGCCTTGGGTTCCTATCAGCAGCCCCTCAAGGCTCTGGGAACATCTCCTCTTTTCGTTTGAAGCTGCTGCCCTTGAGGAACATGCTGTGGACACAGCTGTCTGAGATGAGTAAGCCACATCTCTGGCCAAAAAGAAACACAGTGTGATTTGGGGTCTCTCTGCTTTAGGATGGGGCTTCCTCGGGGGACTGAAGCCATGCAGATGGCATCCTTTCCCTAGAAAGCGCTGAGATGTCCATTTCACTCACTTTCGATCAGGGCTTGTTGCCACTTCACGGCCTCCACTGGTAAAAGCAGGGCTGGCACTGTCTGGAATGATGTGAGGGGCACCACCCCCATCCCCACCCTATGCAAAAACAATATCGTTCTCCGGGTGGCTACGCTCCTTGTGAATACCCCAAGGAGGTCACTTGAAGAGGTTACGAGGCCAGTGATTCCCAGCTGGCTTCTGCTGAGGGAAAGAGACTGACCTTGGAAGAATCAGAGCAGGAGCCTGGTGAAAAAAATCGGGGGGCTTCCAGTGTTGACTTCCATACAGGGTTTGAGCTGGATGGGGCATGGAGCATGATTTCGCATGATAGAGACCAAATTCCAACCCTGTCACTTTCTCAGTGAGACTAAAAAAATGTCTTCCCTCTCTGAGCCTTGGGTTTGATGTCTGTAAGCCACGGGTAGCAAATAATGTCCTTGTCCAATGCCCATAAAAGTTGAATTGGGACCAGGCTCACTCCTGTAATCCCAGAACTTTGGGAGGCCATGGAGCGTGGATCACTTAAGGCCAGAGTTCAAGACTAGCCTGGTCTACATGATGAAACTCTGTCTCTACTAAAAATATGAAAATTAGCTGGGTGTGGTAGCACACACCTGGAATCCCAGCTACTCGGGAGGCTGTAGGCACGAAAATCACCTGAGCCCAGGAGGCAGAGGTTTCCGTGAGCCGAGATCATGCCACTGCACTCCAGATTGTCTACAAACAGAAAAGAAAAAAAGAAAAAGAATGAATTAGGTAATGCGACAACGCATCTCAAGATTTTCACCCAAGACTTGTCAGTTTCCTTGGCCCTGCTGTCAACTTAATTGCTGTTTACTTGTAGAGGCAAAGAGGATGCCACAGCCAAGGGACTGAACCAGATCATTCAAGGCAATCACCCAGTGGATGATGCGGGCTGCAAGCCTCAGGGGTTAGGTGACTTGGTCTGGACTTAAAACGGAGACAGGAAATTAGATACCAGCATCCATTTTTCTGATTTACAAACACTTTCCTGCATAAAACTCTTCCGAGGCACGTAGCATGTGAACACACACAGTTATGCTTTAGGCAGTCCCTCCCATCTAGAGAATCCAACCAAGACTACACAGGGTGTCTAGGGAGCAGAGGTTATTCTGTGGCGCAGGTGGCTCTGCAGAGGTGGGTGCCATGCCGAGTCACATGGGAGGGTATGTTCCCAGCCAAGAGTTTAGAGCAAAGACCTGCTCAAGCTACATGAGGGGTGAGGTTCCCTCTCGAAGGTGCTCTCAAGCAGCCTCCTCACTGGAAGCACGAGAGGAGGCAGCCCTGCCCTGAAAACTGCAAGAGCTCAGCAGTGCCTCCTGCCTGTGCTGACCTTCGCAGGCAGGCAGTAATGGTGGGAGGAGAATGATTTCTCCAAGGCCAGGACACGGAGCAGGAGGATGCACGGATCCAATCACGAACCAGATTCAGAAAGCGGCAGGCCAGCACTGGGGCGGCCATAGGAAGCCAAAGCCACATCCAGCATCCCCGGCACTGCCTTACTTCTTTCTGAGAAAGTCCATCAAAGCAGTATGAGAGCAGCTGGCACGATGGAGTGATCCTCATTTGATATAGGAGAGTTCTGGCCTGGCCACTTCCGGGCTACAGTTCTGCTTAGAGAAGACACTGTCCAACTCTTACCTCAAGACCATTCCTCACTTGACCCCCTCCCACCCTCACCTGGCCACCTCTCACAAGATTCTCATTCTTGGGTCCACGGCTCCCAGGGAATCTCTCAGATGATGAAATTACCAGTTACTCCAACTTTCGGTCAAATCCACCCTAACTAGGACGATCATTCCAGCCAAGATCATCAGAGCACGTACTGCATGCTGGATGCGGTTCTCTGCTCCATACAGAGGACCTGACTTGGATAAATGTTCACAATGACCCTTTGGGATACGTACTGTTCCATTTTACAGATTAGAAAACTGAGGTTTCTCAAGATAAAGTAAACTCCCACACTTGTGCAACCAGAAGTCATGCTCTGTGCCAGCAGGCCATGCACACCTCACCTTCTTCCCGGCTGTGGACCAGACCCCTGAATAGAGATACGTGACTCTGTCATCTATCAGTTGTGTGACATCAGACAAACCACTTCGTCTCTCCAAAATTTCACCTCTTCCTCCACAACAGGGGATGATAACAACAACTACCTGAATAAAAATGCCCACCCCAGGGAAAAAGACACACACACACACACACACACACACACACACACACACCCCAGACCCACCTGGCCTCTCTAAATAGGGAGTGGGTTAACCTTCAGAAGCAAAAGGCAGACAAAAACACCCTGTGATACCTGCTGGGCACAGCCACCCAGCATGCAGATTATGTTTTGTTCCTTCTGAAGGAAGAGGCTTAAAAGAAGAAGAGAACGCAGGAGAGGGCCTGCTTGGATAACAGAGCACCTAGGTATGACATTAAAACCAAACAAAACTCTCCGATACTGTTTCTATCCCAATCCCATCTGGCCCCAGGAACAACCAAAGTGGAGAATGCCTAAGCAATTATCAAACTGTATCAGTTCCACCCCAGCTCCAGGCTTTCCAGGAAACCGTTGACAAATCAAAGTTAAGAATTCAGCAGTTTCGGCCGGGCGCGGTGGCTCAAGCCTGTAATCCCAGCACTTTGGGAGGCCGAGGCGGGTGGATCACGAGTCAAGAGATCGAGACCATCCTGGTCAACATGGTGAAACCCCGTCTCTACTAAAACTACAAAACATTAGCTGGGCATGGTGGCGCATGCCTGTAATCCCAGCTACTCAGGAGGCTGAGGCAGGAGAATTGCCTGAACCCAGGAGGCGGAGGTTGCGGTGAGCCGAGATCGTGCCATTGCACTCTAGCCTGGGTAACATGAGTGAAACTCCGTCTCAAAAAAAAAAAAAAAAAAAAAAGAATTCAGCAGTTTCTCAACCCTTCCCCACACCCCCGGAGGTAGACCCCTACCCCAAAGAACAAAGTCTTCATCCTGTTAGAAATCTATGAAGGGAACATGTGAAGAAATACTGCAGAGATAAGGAAGCCTGCCACCAAGGAGTCAGTCTGGAATCTGCAGTCCAGAAGGTGGGAGAAATGTTCCCATTCACTCTTTCCAGACCTAAGACCATCCGGGAATCCCTAGATAAAGGCTGGCCATCTCTTTTGCCTCCATCTTTGGCAAACCTGTTTCAACGATCACTGAATCACTTTCAGACCAACTTCCTTCCATCCAGAGAGAGCCCAGACCGCCCTGGGGAAAAAGACACCCACCCAGAGGGAAGGTTCAAGACGCCCGATGTCTCAGCAGCCCCCACCCCTGTCACCACCACCACATTGGTGGCTTGATGAAGATGAGGATGGGGTTGTCTTATTCATCGCCTTTACCAAGTCAGGTACCTACCTGGGGCGAAGTATTCCATACATTTTTATTAAATGCTGGAATGTGCAGCCTCCTCCCCCCAAAGAATTGCATGTAGTCCCCTCTACTCAATAAAATACCCAACTAGGGACTGAAGTTTCTTTGCCCCTTTGAAAATCTGAAAGGCCCTTTTTCAGTCACCTTAGCAGATGGCCAATACTAGGGAAAAGGAGACAGTGGAAAGGGCTGTGTTGTATGCGGCAGCTGAATTGATGGCTCCAGGGCTGACTTGTGAGCAGCCTGCAGCTCTGTAAGGGTCACAGCTAGCTGAGAGTTCACTGCGGGGCTGGAACCCTGCTGCAGGCTTCGCGTGCCCATCTCATTTGACCTTCTGGCTTTAGAGGCTCAAACAATAATTCTCATTTTATCGACCAAGAGCCCAGGATGTAGAGAAACTGTTCAAATTTTTCTAAGGCTGCTCAGCCGGAAAGCTATGGAGGCGATACCCTGCCCAGTTCCGCCCAGTAGCACCCAACATACAACAGGCCTTTTAAAAATATTCATGAAACTGTCCAGGTATGGTGGTTCATGCCTGAATCCCAGCCTGTAATACAGGAGAGTTCTAGTCTGGGCACTTTGGGGCTACAGTTCTGCTTAGAGAAGACATTGTCCAACTAATACCTCAAGACCACTGAGAGGCCTTGAGGAAAGAGGCCTCAAGGGAGGCCAAGGCGGGCGGATCACCTGAGGTCGGGAGTTCAAGACCAGCCTGACCAACATGGAAAAACCCTGTATCTACTAAAAATACAAAATTAGCCAGGCATAGTGGTGTATGCCCGTAGTCCCAGCTACTCAGAAGGCTGAGGGAGCAGAATCGCTTGAACCCGGGAGGCAGAGGTTGTGGTGAGCTGAGATCACGCCATTGCACTCCAGCCTGGGGAACAAGAGAAAAACTCCGTCTCCAAAAAAAAAAAAAAAAAAAAAAAAAAAAAAAATGCATGAAACTGAGTTAGCTAACGAATTAATTCTCATCTGTAAAACGGCAATAATATGCCCTTTTATAACTCCAAGGTTTTTAGAGGGAAAAAATAAGATAATCCATGAAAA